ATAGGAGAGAGCTGTGAATTGTTACAATATATTGTTGGGGGAGAACTGTGGATTGTTACAATACAGTGATAGGAGAGACCTGTGAATTGTTACAATATATTGTTGGGGGAGAACTGTGGATTGTTACAATACAGTGATAGGAGAGACCTGTGAATTGTTACAATATATTGTTGGAGGAGAACTGTGGATTGTTGCAATACAGTGATAGGAGAGACCTGTGAATTGTTGCAATATAGTGTTAGGGGAGAACTATGGATAGTTGCAATATAGTATTAAGGGAAGAGCTGTGGATTGTTGCAATATATTGTTAGGGGAAGCTGTGGATTGCTGCAATATAGTGATAGGAGAGAGCTGTGAATTGTTACAATATATTGTTAGGGGAAGCTGTGGATTGCTGCAATACAGTGATAGGAGAGAGCTGTGGATTGTTGCAATATATTGTTAGGAGAGGGCTGTGGATTGTTCAATATAGTGTTAGGGGAGAGCTGTGAATTGATGAAATATATTGTTGGGGAGAACTGTTTGAAGTCGTTGCTGTAAACATTTAAAAGACTAATATCAATATCATTATTAGAATGGTTTATTCTATTTTTGACAAAATAAAACAATTCAAGTATTGGTTTTAATAATAAGCTATAATAAAAATAATAAAGCAAAAGAACTACAAAAGAAAAGGGGAAATCTAAAAAATAAACAATAAGGAATATTAAATTTAACCAGAAAAAATATCATATTTTTCAAACAAAACATTCACGTATTATTGTTTGTATATGATTTGATCATCGTATTGTTACATTTTTTAGAATAACACTTGCATGAGTAAAAATCAAACTATGCCATAAAAAGGAAAAGCATCTAAAAACTATATTCTGATACAAGAAAATAATCTTTCTTAAGACATCATAAATAGCAAAATAAAGTTGGAAATGTGCGCTACATCTCTCTAGTAATTATCATCATTCTCCACATAATTTTAACGTACAAACATTAAATTAACATTCTGTGTAACCCCAAAAGATATATACATCTAAAACAGTTGTATGTTGCATTGTATGCTTTTGAGGTTTGTTATTTCAACTGGAAATATCGAGCACAAATAGCATGAATAATTATATTTTTGTATGTTGTTTGAGATTTATAATCGTAATTCGAAACACACGTGGACAAATAACACTTCTTTTTTTTTTTGGTATACTCCTGGGATTGGGTGTGGCCTAGTGGTTAACAAATCAAAAAATGTAAAGTTCGCTCATTCAGTTGTAGAGGTTATTCGTAAAATTATTTATTCATATCACACCATCGACAATGAAAAATACGAATTCACAAGCGTGGCGAATGGAACAGATGTTACTCTGTTTCAGAATTGGTCGATTCCCTTATAAAGATAAATAGCATTCAAAATGTACTCAAATGTCGTTGTCCACACCAAAACACTGCTAATACACCATGATGGACAATCTCTCTCCTAACACTATATTGCAACAATCCACATCTCTTCCCTAACACTATATTGCAACAATCCACAGCTCTCCTCCAACACTATATTGCAACAATCCACAGCTCTCCTCCAACACTATATTTCAACAATCCACATCTCTTCCCTAACACTATATTGCAACAATCTACAGCTCTTCCCTAACACTATATTGAAACAATCTACAGCTCTCCTCCAACACTATATTGCAACAATCCATAGCTGTCCTCCAACACTATATTGCAACAATCCACTGTTTTCCACCAACACTAGATTGAACAATCCACATCTCTTCCCTAACACTATATTGCAATAATCTACAGCTCTTCCCTAACACCATATTGCAACAATCTACAGCTCTTCCCTAACACTATATTGCAACAATCTACAGCTCTTACCTAACACTATATTGAAACAATCCACAGCTCTCCCCGAACACTATATTGCTGTATTGCAACAATCCACTGTTCTCCACCAACACTAGATTGAACAATCCACATCTCTACCCTAACACTATATTGCAATAATCTACAGCTTTCCCCTGACAATGTATTGCAACAATTCACAGCTGTCCCCAACAATATATTGCAATAATTCACAGCTCTCCCCAACACTATATTGAACAATCCACAGCTCTCTCCTAACACTATATTGCAACAATGCGACGAAATAGTAATATATTTTATCTAATTTATTAGCTTAACCAGTATTATATAGGAAATGGGAAATTAATTCAAGATGATTAGTAAAAAATTTTTGTTAATGGTTGTTTTCATGTTTGAATTACCAACGTATTTTTTTGTAACACAGCATTTAAAAATAATAAAATTTTGTTCAGGAATTATTAACTTTTGGTAAAACAAAAGTACGAAATCAATTCAACCAGAAATAAAATATTGTTACGTCTCCGTTTTTTTTTAATTAACTGATTTTCCGTAACTTCGTACCGAC